CCCCCCCCCCCCCCCAACACCTTTCCCATCAGGGAAAATCATGTAAATTGGTGTTTGACTTTTTCAAATGAAAGAGAGGAAGTTAACTCACTCAGGGTAACTCGGGAGGGGGAAGCAGGGGGGGGGGGTAATCTCGGGTACCTGAAACCACACAAATGGGGCCTTGTTTTGCACCCCCACCCCCCCAGTGAGTTTTATAAATTTAATTATAAAATAACATGGGAAAACACACCTCAGAATTTCATTTAGTCTAAATCACAGTAACATGATCATCAACGAACCTAAAAATATTTCGGATAGTGATCCATACATGGGGCAAATTTGCAAATGCATAGGAATTGGGAATTGGGAACTTCAATTGTTCAGTTAGTTTGTAATAAAGAGAACTCAACTAATGGCGACAAAAAATTGTACTAAAGGAGAACAGCTCCCTTAGCATTTCATGTAACCTTTACATACCAAAGATCCTGCCCACTTTGATTCCAATTCTTCAATTTTAAGCTGAAAAACCTCCCCAATGTGCAATGGCCTGTCGCTAAAAACCATTCCATGGTCGTAGGTATCACCTTCTCTTACAGCTCTCTGATTGCCATTGGTGAGTGTTATGTTACGTCCATGCCTTTCGTGGAAACCTATAACCCATTTCTCAGGAAGAACAGGCATTAATATCTTTTGTCTTGTTATAAGTGCGTCGCAAAAAACTTTAAAATCTTCCCTCCGGACCAGCTGGACATATCGACAGAGGACGCTGTACGAGTGGCCCTTAGAGGACTGGGTACAATATTAATGACGTCATAATGAAAATCATAAGTTTATATTTATTTTTTCCTTTCATCTTCTTTTTAAATGGAAAAATATGATTCTTTGATGTGGAAAATCTGGCAATCTATTAATACAATTAGGAGAAAATGGAAAGAAGACAAAAATGTTCTTGAATTGCTGGCATCCATTCGTCGGGACAGCGCATGCTCAGAACGTAAAACAAAGATGGCGGACAGAGCGGAGGAAGTAGGCTTCCAGAATATAATCATTTTAAGTGTTTTTAATGAATCTTACAAGGAAGGTATTAATGCACGCTTGCTTTATTTTTCCCTGTCAAATTTAGGAGGATGAAGTATTTGAAATAACAGATTTTACAACTTCATCTGAATGGGAAAGGTAAGTTTAAATTAGCTTAATTAGACGGAGTTAGTTTAAACTTTAATAGCTTAATAATAGAACGGTGATTCACTTCCTAACCATTTAGCGTCCTGTGCCGGTAATTTCGTTTTCAAGACTCTAACGAGCTTGTTAAATTTTAACTGAAATAAGAGAACCCCCACTTGTAATTTTGGTCCATGTTAGTATTAACCAGTTACCTTTCATTAATCTTAAATGGCTTCCTTTAGCATTTGAACTGGTCAGCCTAAGACCATACCCCTTCCTTCATCACGAAGATGGAAAACTTTACTGGCTTGTGTGGTTCCAGAAAATATCTGTACCCCTCCCTGATGGAGTGTTTTTGGGTTTGAACCCCCCCCCCCCCCCACCCCTCCCATCTCTCTGGAAATTCCAGTTTTGGTAATCATACTTTCTGGGATTGGATATGGAAATATTCTGGAAACACACCTTTTGTAGATGTTGATAGATGCAGTGCTCGACACTAACACTTTCGGTTACTAGACAGTGGGCTAGTAAGCAAAGCAAATCACTAGCCCACAAGGACAAGCCACTGGTCCAAAACAAGGCCAGGAAAAAAAACATACGCTTAGAGAATTAGGAAGCATTCCTGTCTTTCTGGGGTACTCCCCCTGACCTCCCCTGACACCTAGCCCTTTTATTTCTCCAGTGACACTTGTAAAGACTAACATTCGGTTGCTTGCATCTAAGCGTGAACACATGACACCAAAACATGTTCTAATTGGGTGTCAAATGTGGCATGATTGGTCATCAAACATTTCAAGTTTAGCAGACCGTAACGCGAACTTTTTCATGTTAAAAGTTCAGCGCACGAAATGGCAGAAAGATTGGACCTAGAAGACTTCTTCAGAGAAATTGACCCTAACCTGTGTCAATATGCATATGCCTTTCGCGAAGGTGATTTTACTTCTAGTATAGTAGTATTTGTTGATGGTGAACATTTTGAGTTTTGAAAGTGAAAAGTTTTGAGTTAACATTTTCGCATTACGGTCTGATAAACTTCAAATGTTTGATGACCAATCATGCCACATTTGATACCCAATTAAAGCATGTTTCAGCATCACATGTTCATGCTTAGATGCAAGTGACGGTATATTAAATGAAATAAAAAAGAATAACACTCCGTTGTCGATATTTGTTTTCTTTGTTTATATAGTTAACATGGAAGTCCAAATACCACTCCAGAACAATTTTAATAATTCAGTGACTTAAGCAATGACTTCATAGAAGTGCCAGTTCATGGCAAGTTGACTGGCAGCATGTTCAGTTTAGTACAGTACAAAACGCTTAATTTTATGAGACAATTCTCGAAGCATTACATAAACGGTGAGTCTACTCTGCATCTCTGCTATTCGAGTCCAAATACTTTGGTCTTGTTGAAATCTTCATTCTTGCGTGATGGCTGATCACAGGAAAATGATGGCGGAAAATAATAGAAGATCGCGAACTTATGGTGACTCTCACCCAGATCCCTCTAGAGTAAAATTGAAGTGAGGACTTCAGGCATTTTCCAAGATGGCATCTGTCTCTTAAGTCGATCGTACCCCTATGATATGGATCATGGATTGTCGGTACTCTGGTTTATGCATAGGCAGGGCTCTCATTAAGGGCTATAACGCGTAACACCTGTTATGGTTGAGTATGCTTGATTTTCCCTTGATGCTATGGGTGAACTTGCCTGTTGTTGATAGAATTCGCCCACAAAGTAACAAGTTTGCTACAGGTGTGGAGAAGGAGGCTACAGGTGACTCAAAACTTAATGACGACCCTGATAGAAACTAGCTCCTGATAAAGTGTTTTAGAAAAAGGAACTTTCCAAGTTATAGAGTTGTAGTACATTTATTTTTCCACAAAACTAACTGGTCCACAGGCTATTAGCAGTGCATTTTCACTAGCCCAACAAGAACTTTTACTAATTCTGGGCTAGTGGGTTACCATTGGTGTTGAGCACTGAGATGGAAATTTATTTTTAACACAACTTAACAGAACTGGGCAAGTGACCTACAGTGGCAGATTTAGGGGAGCGGCCCAGAAGCCATGTCCCCCCTTTTATTTTGGGTAAAAAAAGAAGAAATCACAGAAGGAAAAAAAGCCGGCACGGCAAGCAAAACAAAAGCGCCACTCCCCCCCCCCCCTCTTAGCTTAAGGTCTAGATCCGCCACTGACCTAGCAGATATCTTATACTTAAGCAAAATGACTGAGTCTGTTTGCAAGACATGACTACCATTCATTATCTAGCCAAAAGTGCCCCTCTTGCTCGTACTGTTGACACTTCTGCTGTAAAAAGCAGGATCCCATAGTTTTCTAGCAGATGATGAATTTTTCATTTCTGATTTTAGGTTTGCTGCGAGACTCGAGCACCTTCTCATTGAGTGGAAGTTAGATGGCTCAAACAGAAAGTCAGCTTCCTCAAAAGTATCGTAACAAAACCTTTTAATGCGTGATTAACTAGTTTACTATTTTTGTCTATAGTTTCTGAAACGATTTTATGTCTTAAAAGTTGATATACTCAAATAACTTGCTGGCAAACAGAAAACATTGTTGCAATTCTTAATCCACGCTAGGGTTTTATATAATTTTTAAATTATCAAAAGAATTGGCATGACTCCGCCCAGTGCAAGAATGTAATAATTTTCTCACAACTTGCTGCCAATAGAATGCAGTGTCTTGGAGTCTATGAAAGTATTACAAACAGGGCAGGAAAAACATTATGAAATCCAGTTGCCCAGTGGACCAGGACATTTCAGTTTTCAATTCAAATAGGCACGCAGTAATCATGCCTTATCAACTACATCATTTAGTAAGTACTGTCTATAATCAGTGATAGGCTATAACAAATTAAGCTTACTGGTGCCAAACTGGGTGAAAGATACTGCACAGTGACACAAATGACTGTTGTGTCAGATACCTGAAAACTACCAGTATTACAGCACCAGTAGTTACTTGGAAATAGTCACCAACAAGACCACTGACAGGCTTATTTCACTTGTCCACCGGACCACCAAACGTCCATCTTCACTTGTCTAAGAGCAAAATCTACTTGCCCCAGACAATTGGACTTGGGTTTTTTCCTGCCCTGAATTGATTGAAATTTTGCTCTCTGATTTTCAAACAAGGATCTTTTAACCCTCTCACTCCCAGGAATGCCATGTGACACAAAATGCCATTGTAGTCATGCTCAATATCTGGTCAATTTTTATCAAATTTGAACTGCAAAAAGTTCTTGGACAAATCTGTCGTTTGAAAGCATAAAATCATACCCCCTCCTATATGAGACTTGTTGCAAATTGTGCAACTTTTTCCTCTTAGGAATATCTTACTTGAGAGCTGCATATTAAGCTATAGTTTAGGTGTATTACTAAACTAAACAAGGAGTGAGATATTTTTTAACATTTTTTGTTTTTCGCTTTGAATGCTTTTCAATTCAAACTGAGTCTTCCTCTATGGCTATTAGTGTGATGTTTGGTATCCCACAAATAATATCTTTCAAACAGTATATACTATGTGGGACCCTTGAGTCTATAGTTACCATTTTACAAAATATGTGGTTTTCCCCATGGGAGTGAAAGGGTTAGTTGACATTGTCTTGACAAGTCCTGGGCTTTTCCATTTGTCACACCTCATAGCAGTACTCCTCTTCTTGGTGTACTATGAAACTGGTATCTTAGCTCTGATGGTGTTAGCCACGTTGGTTCAGGGCAAGCACAAACTATGTGATTGAACCATTTATTCTTTTTTGCTTTTCTCTACTAGGGAAAAGGAATATTTGGGAATTTTGAAAAGAGCAAACTGGATCCTATTCCAAACAGAAAGGACAATGTAAGTCTTGAAGGCCTTGTCGGATGAACACATTTTGTCAGTTAATTATATATGTATATTTTCGAAAACACAAAACTTGCAGGGCTGTAGCAGCCATATACGCACATACACATGTGCATACCTCCAGAAATCCAGATCTCGTCTCCTATAAACCTAATCTCAATTATCCCAAAGGTTGACATAGCAGTATAAGCAACATACGTTTTTCCATGTTTTGATTTATGAAAATATTCTCTGGAAAACCTGAGAAGTGGCATTTCATAGCCCCTAGGAATAAAAGTGTCCTGAAAACATGCCCCCACACCCCGCTAGTGGCTTGCAACTTAGTCGCTTGATTCACTTTCTCTGTGGTGCCTCGCTCTGTAAAAAGTGCACCCTAAGCCCCTGGCTGGTTTGCATTGTTGAGTTAATTGCCAAGTTGTAACCCATGAAGAAGTAGGCAGCAGTGATGTAAGTTATAAAGTTCTCACTGGTGTTAAAATCATTTATTTAAGTATTACTCATAAATTTTAAAGTTCTAAAAAAGGAGTTTGAAACAGATAAAAAAAAACATTAAAACTGAATTTTCCACTGCCATCTGCAGTCTTCTTCAGAGAAATGCACTCTGCATGGGCACAGATTGCTCCAACAGTTTTATTTACTCAAAAAGTTTGCTTGTAATAATTACAGCAATGGTAACTTGATATGGACAGTACTCACCATTTGATACTGACTTTCAGAAATACCTCCCCACCCCTATTTAAGTGTCCTGCATATTTTTTTGAAATGATTTGTTGATAATAGGATTCTTTATTGAGCAACTATTTTTTTCTTGTTTTCGTTCCCATCGTAGGAAAGAGAAGGAATTTGGGGTGTAAT